TGGTCTGATAGCACCAGCTGGCCGGACTGGTGATATGAGTGGGGTTCAAAGGAGCTGGCTCTATCAATAACTAAGAAAATGGTGAAGAAACCACGCAGGACATGAACATCAGTTTTTAAAGCAGGACGGCTTGGTGACCCAAGGATCAGCTCCAGAGCTGGAAGGAGCAAGAGAGCGAGCACACCCGAAACCTTAGAATTATTGGGGAAAAGACATTCAAGAAAGTTCCACCCAAATAAGGAAAGGGATTGGGTTTCGAAGGCTGGAGTCTTGCTTGGTGATGTCTTGTGGTCAGCAGATTGACTGACATCTTGGAAAGCCACACCCATCTCAGTGTTGAGTGGGATCAAAGGCAGAGAGAGAGGAAAGGCACACCTATGTTGCACAGCTCAATCAGACAGTAGTGTCAGGCCGGTCCCCTCATCCGCTCAAATGTGCATAACTCACACACACAGCCCACGGCTGGCTCCTGACAGTCTGATCAGTTCAGGCCTAGAACAAGAGCATTTTAGCAACTGTGAATTTCCCTCTAGGCACTGCTTTAGCTGCATCCTACAATTTTTCATTCAGTTCTAGGTATTTTGTCTTGTTTTAAAAAAATGTCTTTATTTTACATTTATGTGGTGTTGAGGATCGAACCCAGTGTCTTGTGCATGCTAGTTGAGCGCTCTACCACTGAGCCACAACCCTAGCCCCGGTATTTTGTCTTTTGATACATACTTTTTGAATGCTGTATTATTTAGCAGAGTGTTGTTGAGTTTAAAAGTTTTAGGAAGTTTCCTCTCATGTCTGCTACTGATTTCTCATTGGATTCTTGCTGTAGTCTGGACGTGAAGCCTTACCCCAAAGCCTACATGCTAAAGGCTTTGCAGCCAGGCCTGGATGCTATTGGGAGGTGGTGGATCCCTTACGAGATGGGACCCAGTGTGAGGTCTTTGGGTCATTGACACCCTTAGCCTTCTTTCTTTTGCCCTCGTTGGCCATGAGGCAAACAGCTTTGCTCCACTATGTGCTCCCTGCAATTGCACTTGTCAACCTTCAGAGGCCTGAAAGTGTTGGGTCCTGTTGGATCATGAACTAGAACGATCAAAATCAAGAAAAAAAAATGCTTATGTTGTTGTCACCTGATTATCTCAGGATTTTGGTTCTAATGGCTGAAATCTTAGTCACTCAGTTCCATTGTGATGAGAGAATGTCCCTGGGATGGTTCATCTGGGTTGCCAATTTGGTCAGATTGAGCGATGTCTAGGATTAGGAGGTGATTGGCACGTGGGACGCTGTGGGAGGCGGCCACGCTGAATGATTCACGTTCTCCTTCCTTGAGCGGAGAGGCTCTGACTGTCACTACATCTCATAGTGACCTGGACACTGCCTGGGTCCTGGAAGTTTGAGGACGTGTCTTCAGACGTAGGTGTGTTGCCCATGGATTGAGCTACGCCCACCTGTTCCTTTGTGATGTTACCCCCTTGCCCTGTTTGGGATAGAATGTTCCATGGAAACACCCTTTGTGGGTCCCCTTTTCTTGCTCTGCCCTTGGGGGTGGCCTTCCTAGATGTCAGTCAACCTGCTGACAGCAGACATCAGAAAGCTAGACTCAGCCCCCTGAAACCTGACCCCGGCCTCATTTGAATGGCTTCTCCTCAATAAAAGGGTCAGCACACGCTCGCTCTCTCTTTCTGCAGACCCTTAAGGTCAGAGGAGCCATCACAGGACCCCAAAGAAAAAAGGTCCCTCTGTCTCTTGTGTGGTTATTTTGAGCACCCAGTTCCCCTGGAGGGACCCTGAGTGTTTCAGTCGTGAGGAACGCGACAGGACGGCCCACTAGTGGAGACCCGGTGGACAGCACTGTCCAGAGGCTGGGGCCCCGATGGAACCTGAGCTGGAAGCAGGAGGAGGTCTCACGGATGGGAGTCTCATTCTGCTTGAGCAAGGGCTGCTGCTGTCACCCGTGGACACTGGAGTTGACTCCTTCCCTCTCCCAGGGTGGGCGCTCTTCAGTGGCTCTCCAGGGAGGGTCCAGGCTTTCGGTCTCAGCCCTGGACAACCTCACTGGTCCCTCTGGTGCTGAGGCTCCAGATTCTCAGACTGAGAAGTTCCTTCCTTCAGCTGTCCAGCGTGCAGAGAGCCATGGTGGGACATCCAGCCCCGGACTGTGTAAGCCCGGCTAATAAGTCCCCTCTAATAATCACACACACACACACACACATACACACACACACCCCTTATGGTCCTGTGTATCTAAGAGCCTGAATATAATGGTTTTAAAATGATTTTAATTCATTTAAGTGTTTTATGTCCCTGGATAGGGTCTCCCTTGGTGAATGTTCCATGAGAACTGAGAAAACTATAGTTGGGTGATTGTGTGTGTGTGTGTGTGTGTGTGTGTGTGTGTGTGTGTGTGTGAGATGCTTTGGGTTGTTTGTGGTTCTCTACATACAAAACACACGTATGGGTTTCTTTTCCTGTGGGGTATTTCTCCTACTCCCTGAAAGTCTTAGTCATCTCCAAGGTGGAAATCGATGTCATGTAACGAAGGGTCAGTTGGGGTGTAAGACCTGACACTAGGGCCATCTGGGGCCAAGCAGGAGGCCCTGGGATGGCCGGCCCACAGGTTCCCTCACCCTGCAGCTTCTGCCATCATGTCCCCTGGCCAAGCGACGCCTGTTAGAAGGCAAGGCCTGGTTTCTGTTCCCCCTCCAGTGGTGAGTTTTAGTTCCCTGCCATCCGCAGCCATTCAGCCCAGCCAATCCTGTCCCCGTGGGTCCCAGCATGCTGTTTGTCACCACGGAGTCGGCCTCCCCACCCTGTGGTGGCTCTCTGTTTCCAGATGCATCCTCCTGTGGTCGGCATGGTGGACACCATCCTGCCGCCTGTGCCGGGCAGGTATGGAGCGTACGTGGGGAGAGATCACTGTCACCTTGCCACCCCACAGTAGCGGCTGTACCTTCAGGCGTCTCTCCCCAGTGGGGTATTAAAACCCAACGGATGAGGACATTCTATGCGCTCTTTCCTTTGGTAAAGTGTCTGTTCAGATCTTTTGCCCTTTAAAAATGTTGTTGTTTTACACTGGGGCTGTAGCTCAGTGGTAGAGCGCTTGCCTAGCATGTGGGAGGCACTGGGTTCGATCCTCAGCGCCACATGAAAATAAATGAATAAAATAAAGGTATTGTGTCCATTTTCATCTAAAAAAATTTAAAAAGTGTTATTTCAATTGTGGCAAAATACGCAGAGCAGAGACTGTACCGTCTAAGGCCATTTCTAAGTCTGCTGTTTGGGGACATCAAGCCCATTCCCAGGGCTGCACAGCCACCACTCGGCACTCATCCACAGAGCTCTCTGTTTCTCAAAATTGAAACTCTGAACCTTTGAACAAGAGCTCCCTGGTTGTCCTTCCTTCAGCCCCTAAAGCCACGGTTCTATTTCCCATCTCTGTAGAGGTGACGTTCTAGGGATCAGCTATGAGCAGAACCATTCTGTGTCTGTCCTTTTGCGACTGGTGTACTTTGCTTAGCATAATGTCCTCGAGGATCGGCCACAGTGTGGCATGTGTGGGAATATTCTTCCTCGTTCAAGGCTGACTAACATCCCGCTGTATGGTGCATAAAGTGTATCCATTTCTCCCTGAAGGACACTGGGTAGCTTCCACTCCTTGGCTACTGCATGTAATGCTGCAGTGAATGTGGGCGTGCAAATATCTTCGTGAATCCTTGCTCTCAGTTTTTTCCAGGTATATGCACAGAATCAGGATTGCTGGGTTATATGCTGGTTGTATTTGTAATATTCTGAGGAACCGAAGCATGTTTTCCACTGTAGCTGTGCCATTTTTCATCCCCACCAACAGTGTGCAAGGGTTTTCATTTCTCCCTGAACGGGCCGACATTTGTCATTTCATTTAGCTTTGGGGAGATACTGGGGATTGAACCTAGTAGTTTTTTTTAACTACTGAGCCACATCCCTGGTGCTTTATATGTTTTGAGATGGGGTTTTGCTAAGTTGCTGAGGACCTCACTAAATCACTGAAGCTGGTCTCGAACATGCGACCCTCCTGTCTCAGCCTCCCAAGTCTCTGGGACTACAGCCACGCCTGGCATTTTGTTATTTTTTGTAGCAGTCACCCAACAGCTTCAAGGTGATATCTCAGCATGGTTTTGATTGGCATTTCCCTAAAGATGCATGACGTAAAGCACGTGTGTGCTTATTAGCCCTTTGTGCGTCTTTAGAGATGTGTTATTCAATCCTCTGCCTATTTTTTATTTGAGTTATTGGCTTTTCTGTTCTTGATTTGAGCTTTTCTCCATTTTAAAACCAGCTGTCTTATTTTCCTTAGTTGGGTTTTAAGAGTCATAAGTGCACTTTGGATGCAAGACCTTCACCTTCACCTGTGATTTGCAAATATTTTCTCTAGACCTGTGGATTTTCTTGTCACTCTTTTTCCTGGGCCACTTGGAGTGCTTCTGACCTTTCTCCAGTAGGAAGGAGTGTGCTCAGATTCCTGATGGACACCACTGAGCCACAAGCCCAGCCCCAGGATTTTTTTGTTTTTATTCACCTGCTGGTGGCCTCTTTTTTTGGTCCCATTTGGGACTATTTTGAATAAAGCTTCTAGGCATCTTTTGGTTTCCTCCTTGAGACTATGTGACCCTCTTTGGTTCATGGTGTGGACTTGGAGGCAGAATCTCTGGGCTCAAATCCCAGCTCTGCTGTTCACCAGTGTATGACCTGGGGTCGGTTACCTGACCACGCTGTCCCTCATCGCCTGTCAACTGTAAGGTGCAGGTCAGACCATCTACCCGGCCTGGGGAGACTGGACTCGTGAGTCTAGGAAGCAGTTAGAAAGGAGCCTGGTCTGAGCAGTGCAGGGTAGACTGGAGCCATGATGATTCAGCCCCGTGCCCGAAGCCAGCAGGAGGCGCCCTCAGTGAGGACCCAGCAAGCTGAGGCAGCCAGTTCCTGGTTCTGTTGAAAGCACCCCATGACTTGGCCACACCGTGAGTGGACCAGTCCTTTCAGCCACGGGACCAGGCCACTCCCACGGCTGCCCGAGATTCCTGGAATATGGGGGGGCCCATCCCTTTAGCATCTTCGGGTGGCCCTAGCCAGTTCCCTCTTTCTCTTCCTGACCTTCAGGCGATTCAGGGAGTGAGTGACAGGGGGTGGGAATAAAGGCCGAGATCCCAGCAGTCCTGGGCACTGAGAGACAGCGGTGACCATGAGTGACTTCAAGGATGTGGACGCGCAGCTGGGCTCCCTGGGTGAGGCTGGGCTGGGCCTCTGGGAGCTGGGAGGGGTATGGGAGGCCAGCTTGGGTCTCAGCTGCCCAGGCTCTGACTGATGCTCTGCCCGTTCAGACGAGGAGGAGCTGATAGCCAGCGGCGCCAAGCATTCCTTTCAACGCTTTGGATTCCGGCCCCCGGGGGGCCTCAGGAGCATTGCAGGTAGAGCGGGCTGGGGCTGGGGCGTGGGCAGTAAAGGACAGGTCCACCCGGATGTCTGTGTCCTGGGGAGCTGGAGGCTGGCAATCTGGATTTTGTGTCCAAGGGAGGAGGAGATGGGGGGTCTGGACTTCTGGGTTCTGGAGTGTGGGTCTGTATCCCTTGGTTCTGGGGAGATAGACACTGAAGGACTGGAGAATGGGTCCTGGGCAGGTGGTGGTGGGGACTGGACCCTGGTACTGGGGAGGTGGAGGCCAGGGACGGACTCCTGGAGACTGGGGTAATAGAAACTGCAGTCTGAACTCCTGGGGTCTCGGGGAGGTGGATATAGAGGGCAGGAGCCCACTGGTCTGGTGAAGGTGGAGGCTGAGTGAATCCCTGGGTTCTGGAGAGGTGGAAATGGACTGGATATTCGGGTTTTGTGGAAACAGAGGCTGAGGGTCTGGTTTCTGGTCCTAAGGTAGTGGAGGCTGGGGACTGGACTGCAGGATCTTGGCAGTGCCGAATGGGGACCAGAGTCCTGGGTCCTGGGGAGGTTGAGGCTGAGGACTGGGCTCCTGAGTGGACTCCTGGGTAGTGAGAGGTGGACGTTGAAGACTTGATGCTCGGTGAAGGCTGACGGTCTTAACCCCTGTGTGTTGGGAAGACGGAGGCTGGAAACCTGGACACCAGAGTTCTGGGGTCCTTGAGTGTGGGGGAGCAGACTACAGGGTCCTGTGGAGGTGAAGGCTGAAGGCCTGGATTCCTGGGTTCTAGGTGGGAGGAATCTGGGAACTGGACTCCTGGGTCCTGGGGAATTGGAGCCTGGGGACCTCTGGGCTGTGGACAGCTGGAGGTTAAGGGACTGGAATCTTGTGCCCTGGGAAAGAGGGGTTTGGGACCAGGCTGTCCCTGGGCCAGGCTGAGGCAGGGACGCTGGCTTTCCGGGCCACCCATCCTTCTCTCCGGCAGGGTTTCTGGGCCGTGGCCACATCCCCCTGGTGCTGAAGCTGCTGTGCCTCATGCTCCTGGCCGGGATCCTGATGGCCGTCCTCTTCAAAGGTCAGGAAGGCCCACGGCTGGGGCAGCTGGGTGTGGGAGGGAGGTGGGCTGAAAGCTGGGACGGGTCTCTCAGCGGCTCCTCGGCACTCCTGAGGGCCGAGCAGGAGGGAGGAGCTACAGGGGAGGGTCCTGGCTCCACTTCCCCTTGAGGTTCAGCCTCCCCTGGGTGCCAGGGTTCTTCATCCTCAAATGGGATTGAACGAGATGCTGCCCCTCAGAACAGTGTCCCTGGGAACCCCGTGCAGGCCACGACACACAGAAGGTATTCAATAAGTGCAGTTTTTTTTCTCTCTCTCTCTTTTGGCCCAGTCTCCAAGGTCTCCCACTTCTATGAGCAGAAGAGATCCAAGCAGGAGGACATCCACCAAGAGCTAACCCAGGCGGAGGCTGAAATGGGTGAGTGACAGGAGAACAGGGTCCCCAGGCTTCAGAGGGCCTGGGTGGCGCAGCCTGAGTCACGGGGCCGATTCTGAGCCTCAATGGCCTCAACCAAGAAATGGAAACAAACGGGAAGGTGACAACATCCCTCGCTGCCCACAGTAGGCCAGGCGCACAGTGGGCGCCCAGGGAAGCCAGTCCCCTGGTCTCCGTCCTGAGTGCTGAAGCCCCCACTTCTCCCAGCCTGGAGGAGGCCGTGCCGGGACTCCTGGGTTCTCCTGGGGGGAGAGGTCCAGGCAGAGGGGAGGGAACAGCCGTCAGATGCAGTGGAAGGGGCCCCCAACCCGCAGGGGCTTGAAGGTGGGACACACACAGGAGCTTGGCCTCCCAGCACGCGTCCTGACCCTCTCCCCCTACAGACCGCCTGTGCCGCCCCTGCCCCTGGGACTGGACGTTCTTCCAAGGACACTGTTACTTCTTCTCCAAGTCCCAGCGGAACTGGAATGACTCTGTCACTGCCTGCCAGGAGGTGGGGGCCCAACTAGTCATCATCAAAAGTGCTGAGGAGCAGGTGTGTCTGGTGGGGGTCCCTGTTCCGGCCTGGACATGCATCTGGTCGCTGGCCACCTGGGAGGAGGTGGTTGGTTAGGACACATTTTCGGGACCATTTAGGGGGAGGAGGAGGAGACTCTGAGTGAGAGGGTTCTAAGGCCTTACATAGGAGGCACACACAGGTTCTGGAAGTGGCTGACCGCTCTGGGGGTCACCTAAACTGTAAGTGGTCCCTGGTGTCGTGCTAGCTGGTGTTTAGCAACCTGGTCTGTTGAGACAAAAAGCCTTGATATATATACACCCTTTGCCATTTTCCCTGGCGAAAATTTTCCACCGTTACTTTCTGATCGAGCTGGGCACCACTCGATGCAGAACATGCCCTGCATGGAGGCCGGGCGGGGGGATATTCCTGGGAATCATGCTCAGAACTCACAGGTCGGTGAACATGCGGTGTTGCCAAGCGTGTGCGCCGCGAGGCGGCTCTGTGCGTCGTGTGCACAAGTCCAAATACACCTGTCCGCAGCACACACGTGAGGGAGGGACTCAGACCTCCTGAGCACACCTGGGGGCTGGCTGGTGCACGAGAAGGCTGAAGGTCAGACTGCAAGCAGAACTTGCCATCAAGACATTGGTGAGACACTCGCTGGAATTTGGGGGTCAGAGCTCCCTCCTGACTCCTCCTCTCCCCCTCCAGAACTTCCTGCAGTTGACTTCTAAGAATAAAGGCAGCACTTGGATGGGACTGTCAGACCTGAATAAGGAAGGCACGTGGCTCTGGGTGGATGGGTCGCCTCTGTTTTTCAGGTAGGTGCAGGAGAAGGGCACTCTCCAGAGAGAGGGCTGGGTTTCCCAAACTCTGCCCTGAGCTGCCGCACGCGCGCTGGGAGGGCGGCCTCGTACACCCCCCTGTCAGAGGTGTAGGAGGCTCTGATGTGCAAGAAGTCTGCAGCCGGGGGTGGTGATCTACAGTAAAGTGTTTGAGTCGGAAGCCTGGGGCTTCGTAAGACCAGCCAGTCTGGGGCTATTGTCCCTGGAAGGGTGACTTGTTACACTCATCGATCCCAAGTGAGGGCACACACAGCCTGCCGCGGGGAATTACCCAGGAGTGTGCCAAGGTCTGCCAGGAGACAGAGGGCGAGACACTGTGGGGAGGCCGGGGTAAGCAGCTTGGGGGTGGCTGGTTCAGATCACCAGTGGGCTCTGGGGTGTCGATGTTGTCCCTGGCTGTATCGTACCTGGCCCGGGGGAGGTGTACAGAGGCCCAGAGTTCAAGAGCACAGTAAGGGAGGCGGTTGGGATGTGGAGTCTCCGCCAGTTGGTTGGTTCTCATCCTCAAGCATGAGGACAAGGGGCCTTGGGGGTCCAGAACTGGACTCACCTATCTGCCGTAGGTCTGAAGGGGAGCAGGGAGAGCGTCCAATGTCCCGGAGCAGGAACGTGGCTCCCCGAGTGGGGCTGGGGCGGAGCTCACGCTCGTCTGGCTTGCAGATTCATGAAGTTTTGGAACGAAGGGGAGCCCAACAGTCACGGGGAGGAAGACTGCGCGGAGTTCAGAGGGGACGGCTGGAATGACAGCAGATGTGACCTTGAGAAATTCTGGATCTGCAAGAAGTCTGCAGGCTCCTGTTCCCACGAGTGAAGGCGGGTCTCTCCCCAGGCTCCACCATGGCCCCGTCCACCCTCCTGATCCTGCGAGTTCCTCCGCAGGCCTGGGGCATCAGGAGCTGAGCAAGACTCTGCGGCTCTTCTATCACGTTCCTCCTCTCCCAGGGGACTGACTGTACCTGGTGCTTCTTCCTCCTTTGCCTCTGGGTTCCCCTTGGCTTTGAGGTTGTGGTTGGGAATCTATTTTCTGTTCTAACGTAGCAGCTGCTGGCGGCTCAAGAGCGAATATCCATTGATAGGAAGGAATTGATAGGAAGGATTAATAGGAAGGAATCAGGTTTACTCCTCACCTGGCACCTTGGAGGAGGGAGGGGGCCGCTGTCCTCAAAGCATTGACCTGGGGAACTCGGGAGCACAAAAGCTTTTATAGGAGGGAAAAGAGGGACCTTGAGACGGCCGGCAGGAAGGGTGCCTGCTGAACGGAGTTTCCATCACCTGGCGGGGGCGGGGGTCTCCATTTTCTCCTCTGGCTGGACATGGCAGTAAACCTCAACCTCTCGGGGTGTTTCTTTTATTGAAATGTACATATTCCTTTTCTGCAAGTTGAAGACTTTTACCTGATTTGTGTTAGTTGATGCATAGAAATAAAAGGATAAGCACTGACATCACAAAGCTCGCCAGGTGTTTGGGGTTCTGTAAACCGAAAGCAAGATTTCCCCAGCAATGAACATTAAGACCACTCAGCAGGGTGGGGGTTGCTTTCCTTTAGAAGTCAGAACGCAGGACCAAGGGGACGAGGCCTGATGCTTACGAACGGATCAGGGAGGGGAAACCCTTTGTGGAAGGAGAAAGTGACAATAACTGCCAAAGATAACTCCCAAAGAAGTGGCTCTGGTCCAGTTTAATAGAGTGACAGGTGGGAGATGCACGCAGGGGCTGGCTGTGGCCATTAATGCACCGCCTTCCTTGCTGAGACCAGAGGGTGCACGTGGCCATGTGTAGGTGCCGCTGGGTCCCCTGGGGCTCTGAACGACTTCCTTCATTACTCTACTTCCACCCATTTCCCCTGCACCCATCTGCGCGGCACTTTCCTTTACTGCTGTAGCTCCTCTTGCAGGCTGGAAGCACCTGGGAACCCATTGTCCCTGTCAATCATCGAGTCTCGGCAGGTGCGGCCCGTGTTAGAAGTGCCCGAGGACTGAGGAATCTAACAGGTGCTTGGGCGCAAGGCGAACTTTGCTTCTGCAGAAGCAACTGCTAATGATGAAGTGCTTCTGACAAAGTCCAGCAAGGAAGCCTGCTTGGGTGGGCCGTCCACCAGTTTTCATCCACAATGAAGCTCCACCCCTAGCTCTGATAGGAGGAGCTCAGGATCCTAATCTACAGGATTGGCCAGTTTTAAAATCGGGGTGGGCAAAGGGGAGGGCTATGTTAAAATGGCTACCATTGCATCTTAGGTCCCCAGTTAAGGCTAAATACTATATTCTGAAGATAGACCTCTGGACCTTCTTTGGTCAGCCCTTCCTGTCTGGACTCTCCCACAGGGAGTTGCCTTCTCCATGGTTTGCCTCCCTCCTGGTACAGCTCACACGGTTGTAGGACAAGAACAATCTGGCCATGTTGGGCCAACATGGGGACCTACTGAAAGGCCATTCAGGCTCCTAAGCTCCCCGTGTGGTCAGCTGTGGCCCTGCCAGACCTCCTCTGCTGGTCATTTCCCTCTGACCACGCCCATTCCATTCCTGTAGCATCATAAGAAAAGCTATTTGGTCTTTGGGTTTTGACCACACTGGACTCATGCCAATAAGGTGAACTACAGTAGGGCTTGGGGCTGGTCACCAGAAAGAACAAATAGTTGATTTGAAGGTGAAAAATGCCAGTCCCCTTCCCCCCCCCCCCCAACCTCCAGGCTTAGGGCAGGTTGGAGATCGACCTCCATAAAAACTCTTGAACAAGAATGGGCAGGTCCCAGGCTGGCCAACCGGGGGAGCTGGAGAAGACCTGGGGGCCCCTGGCAGCTCCTTCCTCTCGTCCCTGTTCCGTGACTCTCCCGTTTGAGTGTTTGGGAGTTTGGCCTTTTGTAATAGATGAACACATAGCAGCAGAATGAGTTCCGAGTTCTGTGACTCTGGTGTGAAATTACGGAGTCTGAGAGGGGATTTTGGGAATCCCCCATTGCTGGGCACCCCTTGTTCCTGCCTTCTGAACCAGATTAGCCTGTTGGGACTGAGTCCTCCTACTCACGGGACAAGCTCCAGGTACCTAATATAAGCAGGGAGATTTGCTTGGCATCAAAAAATCCCACAAGCTTCTTTTCCCTTCTGCTGTCAGGCAGCTACTCAGCGGTGGGCCTGGCAGGGAGGGACAACTCATAAAACTCATAAAACATCCCTGGTGAGAAAAACTATTGTTCCAAGATCCTATCACACTCCACCAGGTGGCCTGGACCCTCCCTTGTCACCTTAACTGCCACCCCCCCCCCATCACCCTGGCAAATAAAACATCAAAGAGAGCTTGCTGAGGGCTGTTGGGAGGGTAATGAATGATCAAGGGGGCAGGAGATTGAGGCAAAAACAGGGGACCCAGTTTCCTTAAGGACTCCAACTCCGGAGCTCCAGCCAGCCTCCTCTGGAGGCCGTCCCTGCTGTCACTGTGAGACATGGAAAATGGCAAACCCCCGTGTAGTGTGGCCTGGGAGGAGGGAGCGAGCAAGAGGGGGCAGCACATGGATACCATGGCTCCTTTCCCAGTACAGCCCTTCCTAGTGACACGACAACTCCCGGGAGGGACGAAAACACCATCCAGGGACCAGACCGTCCCCGGGAAGGAGGTATCCATGCAGCCTAGAATGAAGGTCTCTGGGAGGAAACCAAAGGACTGATTCTTCCCCCCAATAAACGCTTTCCCAGCAACAGTACAGTAAAAACAAGTTTCAGATTCTCACAAACCTGTGGTGCTGAGACTCGAACCCCGTGCCCCACACATGCTGGGCAAGCTCTCTACCACTCTAGCCCACCCTCCGGCTTGCTTTTGGTTTGATTTTCCCATGACATTTTAAGTTTCTTGAGGAAGAAATTTAAACTAAGGGCTTGAGATCTTTCCTCTATCAAGGATAAAACCAGGCAGTTTGATTTAGAGATTTGGTTAGCTTCATGTCGATTCTAGAAACCTGCAACTCTCAGGTCCATGAAGTATAGATGGTGTTCCGATGGCAGAAGCTACATGGGTTGGTTCTAAGGACCGAGAGGGGCGGGAGGGAAGCAGACACAAACAACACAGAGTGCGTTGCTCATTTCCAGCCAGATTCCTCCTAAGATGGGGACAGGGAGACAGGACAACAGAGGACTAAAGGTTTGTTTACGTGAGGTTCCTTCAGGTGCCCATTTTTGTGTAAGCATTAAAGCAGAGGGAACTTCCATATCATAACGATTGAAACTAGCCCATTTAAAAAATTTGGACTTTATCTTTCTTTTTTTTTTTTTAAGATTTCTTTTTTAGTTGTAGATGGACACAATACTTTTATTTTGTTTATGTGGTGCTGAGGATCGAACCCAGTGCCTCACACATGCTAGGTGAGCGCTCTACCACTGAACCACAACCCCAGCCCCCGGACTTTATCTTCCTGATATTGATTTCTTGGCATTAGATACACAGCTTAATTTCAGCTTCATGAGAAGAAACTTTAGTCTGAGTGGTTCCATTTTGTTTTTTAGTCCTGTTGATTCAGGCCTAGTATAAAAGCATTTTAGTGCTATGAATTTCCCTCTCATCACTACCTTAGCTGCATTCCACATTAATGATTCTACATATCCGTTGACAGACACTGGTTGCTTCCATGTTTTGGTTCTTGTGAATAATGCTGCCAATGACATGGGTACAAAAAATATTTTTGAATATTTGCTCTTGTCTTATTAGCTATATGCACAGAATTGTGATTGCTGGATTATGTGGTAATTCTATTTGTAATTTCTTGAGAAACTGACATATGTTTTCCACCATTTTACTTCCCCACTAACACTCTACAAAGGATCAAATTTCTCCACAGTCTTCCAAAATTTGTAATTTTGTTATTTTTATAGCTCTCATCCTGTGAGTACAAGATGATATCTCATTGTGATTTTTTAAAAAAAAATATTTTTAGTTGTAGATGGACACAATACCTTTACTTTGTTTATTTAGTTTTTTTTATGTGATGCTGGGGATCAAACCCAGTTCCTCATGCATGCCAGGCAAGTGCTCTATCCCTGAGCCACAACCCCAGCCCTCGTTGTGATTTTGATGCACATTTCCCTGACGATGAACCATGTTGAACACCTTTTCATGTTCCCACCAGCTGTTTGCATATCTTCTTTGGAGACAAGTGCACTCAAGTCCTTTGTCTCTTATTTGAGCTACTTATTTTTCTGTTCTTCAGTTGTATTTTTTCTCATTTAAAAACTAGTGTGCTGTGTTATTTTCTTCTTCTTAGGTTTTAGGAGTTGTGCACACATTCTGGGTATGAAATCAGTATGATACATGATTTCCAAGCATTTTCTTCTAGTCTTTCGGGTTTCACTTCATTTTTCTTTTCAACATCAGTGGAAATGGTTTTTAAGGTTTCTCCAGTAGGAAGAGGTTGGCTGTGGGTTCTTGATGGACACCACTATCACATTAAGGGCCATTTCTTTCCTTCTTGCTCTCCTTTCTTCTCCTCTCCTTTCCTTCTCTCTCTCTCTCTCCTTCCTTCCTTCCTTCCTTCCTTCCTTCCTTCCTTCCTTCCTTCCTTCCTTCCTTCCTCCAGGAATTGAACCCAGGAGCACTTAACCACTGGGCCACATTTGTAGCCCTTTTAATATTTTATTTAGAGACAGATCTTGTTGAGCCTCACTAAGTTGCTGAGTTTGAACTTGCAATCCTTCTGCCTCAGCCTCCCAAGCTACTGGGCATTTCATTGCATTTCTAATCGACTATTATTTTTAAATAAAAGTGTTGAATTAAAATATAACCCATGAATCAGTTTTGAGTTTTACTGAATGCTCGCATTCAATGCATTGGGATTCTGAGGTGGATTTTCTGCTCTACATGGTTTGTGCAGTGGTCAGTTTTCTCATGCTGCTTATAGAAGTGTCCAGAATGATGAGCTGAGCATGAGGTAATGGTGAGGAAACATGGCAAACCTCACCTGAGCCGAATCACCAAGCTTCACCTCCTCTTCTGCAGGCCCTATGGATGCCTCACCCTGAACTGCAGAGGTTCACCCACCCCAAATACCAGACACGGACAAACCAAGAGCGTTCTGCAAGGTACCTAGCTGCAGTCCTCAAATGATCAAGGGAATCAAAATCGAAGCCAGAGAAACTGTCAGCTGTGAAAGCTCTGAGGGATGAGAAGTCTGACCGTAATGTGCTTCCTTGATGGGACCCGGGAGCAGAGGAGGAAGGGTAGGGGAAATAGTGCCACCCGTGACGGGTGCGGCTTCCTCTGTGCTTGGACTAACTCAGCAGCCCATGTGGGCGATTTGCTGCGGTGGTCACTTCTTCTTTTTTTTTTTTTTTTCCAGTGTATTGTAGCACTTTATTTTTCCTTACTCAAAGTGTTGCTGGGGCCTAATGTTCTCACATCACAGTAGAAAACCAAAAATTTTGTCATCTGGTAAAGAATTGAGTACAAAAAAACCTTACATAAATTCAAATGAATAAATTTACAGATGTAAATGCAAACCGTTTCCAACTCAAGGCAAGTCATAACCAATGGTGGTCAGGCGGGAGAACATGGGTAAGAACGGAAACTGGGTCCCAAGGCTCGGACTTTCCCACCCTGTTAGACCGGCAAGAAGTGACAGCTGGCCCAGGAACTCTTGCCAGCCCGAGCAACCCTGGAGGTCTGTCAGCCGACACATGAATACCCCGCCCAGATCACTTCTGTGGTCTCAGATTGGTTAAGCCACAGACTTCTCCTTTATGCACGCTCTCACCTCAGGTACCAGGTGACCGAGCCACATGGACTAAAGGCTTAAATCAAAGATATGCACAGGGCATTAAACATACATCAAGGGAACAGTTAACTTGAATACAAGGTCAAAATCAGCAATGAGTTCTACGTTCCAGTGCTGACATCAGATACAAGCTTCAAGGACAATTTCTTTTCAAAGGCTTATTCCAGTTTCATGAGGCTAGCATGAGGTGTATACATTTGCCAGAGTGTTGCAGTAATTCACTTGCAGGTCAGCATGGGAAAAGAAAGAAGAAGAAGAAGCAGAGCAAGCGAAGCAGCAGCAGAAAAAAAGTCCTTTATTGTGTACAAGCAATCTTTTTATAGTATTGTGAACAAGAAGGCAGCCTTCCAACATCAATAAATCAGGTCTTTCAGCTAATTAAACATAGCACACAGAAGTTTTACTTTCTAATCAGAAGTGACCTGCTTCTTATGGCTCATCTATTCTCGGCTCGGAGTATGTTGAGCTCTGCTCTTTGTTAAGAACAGATAATAAAATTTTTCTCAGCGCCCTCCTAGCCCACTTGGCAGAACATCCCGTTTGCAGGCAAGTCCTCCCAAGGACAGCAGACACCTCGTTTTCAAGCATGTCTGCTGTTACTTATCTATACCTTGACAGAATATCCCGTTTGCAGGCAGACTCCATCAAGGACAGTAATAGTAACGCAGTTACCTCTGATTCTCTACACAGAGCAAATTTATACTTCAGATTCAGCTCATGCAGCAGGTGCCTGGCACCTGCTCAGTCCATCTAGAGGCATTTGCGGTGGACAACGGAAGGGCCCGACTCCTCGTACTCCTGCTTGCTGATCCACATCTGCTGGAAGGTGGACAATGAGGGCAGGATGGAGCCACCGATCCACACAGAGTACTTGCGCTCAGGGGGCGCCATAATCTTGATCTTCCTGGTGCTGGGGGCCAGGGCTGTGATCTCCTTCTGCATCCTGTCAGCGATAGGAAGCACAGCTTCTCCTTGATGTTGTGCACCATCCCGCTCGGCCGTGGTGGTGAAGCTGTAGCAGCGCTCTCAGGATCTTCATGAGGTAGTCTGTCAGGTCCTGGCCAGCCAGGTCCAGACGCAGGATGGCGTGGGGAAGGGCGTAGCCCTCATAGATGGGCACTGTGTGGGTGACCCGGTCACCAGAGTCCATGACAGTGGTGCGCCCAGAGGCGTACAGGGACAGCACAGCCCGGACGGCCACATACATGGCCGGTGTGTTGAAGGTCTCCAACATGATCTGGGTCATCTTCTCTCTGTTGGCCTTGGGGTTCAGGGGGGCCTCCGTCAGCAGCACCGGGCGCTCCTCGAGGGCCACGCGCAGCTCATGGTAGAAGGTATGGTGCCAGATCTTCTCCATGTCGTCCCACTTGGTGACCTCAATGGGGTGCTTCAGGGTCAGGATGCCACGCTTGCTCTGGGCCTCGTCACCCACGTACGAGTCCTTCTGGCCCATGCCCACCATCACGCCCTGGTGGCGGGGGGCGCCCCACGATGGAGGGGAACACGGCCCCGGGGGCGTCATCGCCGGCAAAGCCAGCTTTGCACATGCCGGAGCCATTGTCAATGACCAGCGCCCGGCGATTTCCTCTTCCATGGCGATGGGCGGAGGACGGACGGCGGTGCAGCGAGAGAATGCGGATCGCGGGCCACAGCAGCGGGTGAGACCACGGTGGTCACTTCTTGCTGTGGAGAGGGTCAGCCTCAGGGGACTGGAAACCTCCGCCACAAATCTAAATCTGCTTAATCGTTTATTTAAAAATAAATGTTAGTTAACCGTTTATTAAACAATAAAGAAGAGAAGAAGAAACCCTTGCTCTTGGTCACGATGCCCAAAGGAATCTGCCATCTTCAGACTGAGATACACAGCGCACCATGCAATGCTCAAGCCTTCAGTATGCAGGTCACCCCTGTGGCCGCCTCTCAGGTCCAAACAGAGAACATTTCTAGCACTTTCTTACACCCTCTCTGGTCAATCTCCACTCAGCCCTCCTGGTCACCCCATCATCTCATCAAAGATTATTTCTAGAGGCTGGGGCTGTGGCTCAGTGGTGGAGTGCTTGCCTAGCAAGTGCCAGAAACTGGGTTTGAGTCTCAGCACCACATATAAATAAACAAAGTAAAATAAAGGTCCATTGATAAATAAATAAAAAATTGTTTAAAGATTATTTCTACCTGTTATTGAAATCCACAGAAAACAAAATCTTACAGTAATACACTTCATGTTTTGGCTCTTTCACATTTTTAAGAGGTTCATATGTGTTCCAACTCAGTAGACTGCTTTTTTAATTGTTGTATAGTATTCCATTCTGTGAATATACTTTTTTTTTTCCCATTTATCTACTGGTGACCACTTGGGTTTTTCAGCTTGGAATAATTCTGAATAAAGTTTCTGGGAGACTTGGTTTTCTTTCTTGGGACTATTTAACTCTCTTTGATTTACAGGGGAGAGTGTGAGGGCAGACTCTCTGGGTTCATATTCCAGCTTCACCATTAACCAGCTTTGTGACTGTGGCCAGTAGCCCAACTTTGCAGGGCTTCAGTTTCTCACAACTGTAAAACAGACAGCAGACCATCTACTATGGGGTGGAGAGGTTAAATGAACGAGTATGTAAAATAGTTAGAAAAGTCCCTGAATGACACTTCACAGAAGAAATACAATCAATCAACAAATATACGAAAAAATGGTCACCATCTCTAGCAATCAGAGGGTTGCAAATCAAAACTACACTGAGACTTCCTCTGACTCCAATCAGAAAGGCAATTGTCAAGAACACAAGCAGCAGCAGTTGGGGCTGGGGATGTGGCTCAAGCGGTACCGTGCTCGCCTGGCATGCGTGCGGCCCGGGTTCGATCCTCAGCACCACATACAAACAAAGATGTTGTGTCCACCAAAAACTAAAAAATAAATATTAAAAAAATTTTCTCTCTCTTTTAAAAAAATCGTTTTTTTAAAAAAAGAACACAAGCAGCAATAAATGTTGTTAGGATGTGGGGGAAAAGGTACACTCATACATTGCTGGTGGGACTGCAAACTATGGAAAGTGGTGTGGAGATTCTTCAGGAAACTTGGCATGGACCACCATTTGACCCAGGTATCCCACTCCTAGGCTTATACCCAAAAAACTTAAAATCAGCAGGGACGCAGCCACATCAATGTTTAGAGCAGCTCGATTCACAATAGCTAAACAGTGGGACAAACCTACCTTCCCTTCAATAGATGAATGAATAAAGAAAATGTGGTATATATACACAAAGGAATATTACTCAGCTTTAAAGAAGAATGTAACTATGGCATCGACCAGGTACCGGAGAATATCATGCTAAGTGAAATAAGCCAGGCCCCCAAAAAACCAAAGCTGAATGTTTTCTCCGACTTGCGGATCCTAATTCACAATTGGGGGTGGGGGCTGCAGAAGAATAGAGGTACTTTGGATTAGACGGGGGTGGGGGGTGGTAAGAGGGGAGGGGCTGTGGGAGTGGGAAGGACAGTGGAATGAATCAGATATTATGGCCGTATGTGCATGCATGATGACAGGACTGGTGTGATTTTACGTCATGAACAACCAGAGAATGAGCAGGTACACTCCACTTATGTATGATGTGTCAAAACGCATTCTGCTGTCGTGTATAACTAATTAGAAAAGTTCGTGCCTACAGGAGGCCTAAAATACACAGAGGCAATGATGACTCAGTCAAGTCCCAGGTCAGCAGAAAGCACCCGAAGTGGGGACGTCAGCAAACGGAGACATCAGGGCCAGGGCCAGCGTTTCTGGAGAGAGGGGGGTGTGGCTAGCTCACCACCACCAGGTGGGCGAAGGTTAGCCAAGAAGCTTAATTTGACAAGTGACCCATTTCATTAATGGCACCCAGAGTGGTGGCCTGACCAGGAGGGGGCCGGTTCTTTCAGCCAGGGACCCAAAACCTTGCAGCCCTTCCCTGAAATTCCGGGAACACAGGGCTCGTGACAGATACTCAGACCCCTCCCTGTCGCTTCTTCCGAAGTCCCTACCCAGTTTCCTGTTTCATCCTGAGGGGGAGTAGCCACAGGCAGGGAGTTATAGGGGTGGGGATAAAGGCTGTGGTGCCAGCCGTCCTGGACACTGAGGGACAGCAGTGACCATGAGTGACTTCAAGCAAGTGCGGGTGCAGCAGCTGGACCCCCTGGGTGAGGCTGGGCTGGGACTCGGGAGCCTGGAGGGCCACGGGCACCAGCCTGGGGGGCAGCCTGTCCCGCTCTGACGGATGCTCTGCCCACACAGAGGAGGAGCTGGCGGCCAGCAGCGCCAGAGGCTCCCTCAGCCACCACGCACTCCAGCCGCCCTCCAGAGCAGGCAGCTCTGCAGGTAGAGCAGGGAGGGGGCTGAGGAGGGACGGGGCTCCTGGGCAGCTGCGTCCCGGGGACGAGGAGGTCAGTGTCTGGGCTCTGGGATCCTGGCAGGTGGAAGCCCAGACTGGAGGCTGGAATCTGGGCTCCTGGGTTCTGGGAAGGTGGAGGATGAGACCTGGACTCCTGGGTCCGTGGACGAGGCCCAGGCCAGGCTGTCCCAGGGGCCCTGGTGTGCTGAGCCCCTTCCTTCCCTCCTCAGGGTGCCTGAGCTCCAGCTATGCCCTCCTGGGGCTGCAGCTGCTCTCCCTCATGGTCTTGGCTGGGCTCCTGGTGGCCGTCCTTGCCCAAGGTCAGCCCCTGAGGTTTGGAGCTCTGTGGTCTGGCCCTTGGACTTGGGCGGCCAAGGCAGGAGGAGGTGGGATGGACGCTGGGATTCAACCCTTAGCAGGTTCTAGGGTGTGCTCGGCCCCCACACCTCTGGTGCAGGGGTGGGGAGCAGCACAGGGGGGTGCTGGTCCCGCCTTCCCTGGGTGTCAGGGGTCCTCGACTCCAGCTGGGATTAAGAAGGCCTTGGCTCTCAGACACCAGGTCCCTGGGGGCCAGGGCAGTGCATGGAAGCCAGCAGGTCCAGCACTCGGGGCTTCTTTTCTCTTGGCACAGTCTCCAGGGTCCCCAGCTCCCAGGGACAGAAGGTGTGCCAGGAGCTGACCCAGCTGAAGGCAGGAGTCGGTGAGTGACCAGACACCGCGCTCCCAGGGCCCCAGAGGGTCTCCATGCGGTGACACTTTGCTCGGGTCACCAGCCCTCTGGGAGCCTCAGTTTCCTGGGCTATTTTGTGGGAACACAGGATAACAGTGACAGTGGCCCTTGGTGCTCACAGAGGGCCGTGCACACAGTAGGCACTCAGGCCAGTCTCCTGGGCTCTGGAGCCCTGCTCGTCCCAGGCTGGAGGAGATGGGACCAGGACTCTTGGGGGCTCCTGGGGGGAAGGGACATCAGGGAATGGGGAGGGGACAGTCACCCAGGTGCAGGGTCATGTGAGGGCCCTGACTCCAGGGCTTGAAGGTGGGCAGACATGGGAACATGGCCTCCCAGCACGGGTCCTGACCCTCTCCCCCAACAGACCGCCTGTGCCGCCCCTGCCCCTGGGACTGGACGTTCTTCCAAGGACACTGTTACTTCTTCTCCAAGTCCCAGCGGAACTGGCACGACTCCGTCACCGCCTGCCAGGAAGAGGGGGCCCAACTAGTCGTCATCAACAGCGCTGAGGAGCAGGTGCATGGTGGGCCCCATCCTGGTCTGGGGCAGGCATCTGGCCACTGGCCACGTGGGAGGAGACGTTGGTCAGAACAGGGTTTTCAGGAGCAGGGGCTGCTTCCTCCAGTGGAAGGGGAGGAGACGGGCATGGACAGGGGGTCCCAGGCGGCTCACAGGGAGCCTCACAGGAGGTCTGGACATGCGTGAGTGCTTTGGGAGACACACCTAGAGGGTGACCTGGTGCGCTGGCCAGGGGAGCCGCCTGCTCTCAGGGATAACAAGCACTCGGGGGCGCCGTGCCCATGTCCCTGGTGTAAACCTGCCCCCGCCCCGTGGTCATGTTCCCGCGTCCCTGGGACTCACTCCGTGCAGAGCTGCAAAGAGGGCATGTGCGTGATTGGCGGGCACGAAGGTTCCATCCAGCTCCGCACATTGAACCCTGTCACGCACGAGTAACTTCCTGTGGAAATGCTCAGAACTCAGCACCCAGCTAAACATGTCACGTCGCCAAGTGTGTGTGACGAGAGGCCGCTGTGCACAGTCAGTGTGCAAGTCAGGACACATCTGTCCGTAGGGCACAGTTATGAGAGCCACACAGACCTCCTGAACATGGATGGGACCTGGAACATTAGAAGGCTGAAGGTCAGGCTGCAAGCAGAACTTCCTGTCAGGAGACTGGAGAGACAGCAGGTGGAAATGGAGGCAGAGCTCTCCCTGACTCCTCCTCTCCCTCCAGAACTTCCTGCTGCAGATTTCTAAGAATAAAGGCAGCACCTGGATGGGACTGTCAGACCTGAACGAGGAAGCCACATGGCACTGGGTGGATGGGTCACCTCTGTCACCCAGGTAGGTCCTCAGATGAGGGGACGGGCGGGCGGTAGAGTGGGGTGGGTTCTGAAACGGGGGTTCTTGAGCTATCCTGGTGGGTCCCCTGCTCTCCCTGTTGCCCTGGTCCCGAGAGTCCGTCGTTTGTGTTGAGGAAGGGGGTCTTCATGCCCACGTTCAGACGGGAGGGCAGGTCCCGAAGCTGCACTGTCAGAGCCGCGGGAGGAGCTCCTGGCTGCTGGGTGGGTGACGTAGAACCAGGGTCCTAGTAGGAAGCCTGAGGTCTGGGAGGGCCACCAGATTAGGGTCGAGAGCTTGTGAGACCTCAAAGACCCCAAGAGAAGCAGCCAATCTCACCCCTCGAAGGGCCCCCAGGGCAAGGGCAGGAGCAGAGGATGAGGAGGGAGGGGCTGCGGGCAAGAGCCTTTATTGTGGCGTCCACCGGAAGGACCTGCGAGGCAGGGCGAGCGGCTTGGGAAGGGCCACCTGGAACCTTTTCGGTGGGTTCTGGGGAAGAGCCACCCCTCATGTCTGGTGTTGGTCAGCGGGTGGCGGTGGCAGGTGTAAGGGGCCCAGGGCCCACTGAGCACAGCGTGGGCAGTGCGCGGTGCAGACTGGAAATCCCACCCCCAGCTTGGGGTTACCGGGGTCCGTCAAGGTCCTGACCCAGGCACGTCCCTGGGCGTCCACAAGCCAGGCCTGCCGTGTGCATGCAGGGCAGATGCCAGAGAGGGGGCATCCGATGTCCCGGAGCAGAGACTGTCCCCGGAGGGGGCTGTGGCTCACGGTGTGGATGGATTTGCAGCCTCACGTACTGGAACGAAGGCGAGCCCAACAACGTGGGGGAGGAAGACTGTGCGGAGATCACTGACAGCGGCTGGAATGACGCCAAGTGTGACGCTGAGAAATTCTGGGTCTGCAAGACCTCCTCCTCCTCCTGCCCCAACACCTGAACGCCGCCACCCGATCTGGCCGGACAGGTGGTCGAGCTTGACCCCAGTGTCCCTCCTCTTGCCTGTGAGCCCTGGATCTTAGCAAAGCCCGGATTCCCTGTCTTGGAGTCCTCGCCATCTAAGGGGCTGGACGGCGAGGGTCCTTCCTTCGAGGTCTGCAGGTTCTCGCGGGCTTAGCGGTTGGGTTTCTGGTCCCCCTTTATGGTTGAATGCGGTGACCAGGTGTCTGGTGCATCAGGACCTGGGGCAGTCCATTCATCTACTCTGCCTTCCCTGTAGGGTTTGGTGGCCAGGTGCAGCCTCACTGTCCCCTGTCCTCTGTCCCTGCATACCTTCCTTCCATCTGCTCAACTTCCGTCCACCTCCCTGCAGCCCTGGCCCGGGGACCTTCCCTGGTTGCTGCAGCTCCTCCTGCAGGCTGGATGCCGCCGGGAAGGGGTTCTCCAGCCAACGACTCAAGAGAGTCGGAGGATGATGACCCCCGCTCCCTCTCCTGTGATGCCCAGTGGACCCTGCAGCCCGGCTCCGGATCTCTCTTCAAGGAAGGACAAGCGGCCTGGCTGCGGGCAGTCCCCTCCTGCCTCGGGTCTCCTACAGGGAGCTGCTTCCTGTGGGTGGGTTCCCTTCCTGCCCCATCCCATGCGGGTGCAGGAGGGTGAAGATGTGGCCGTGGTGGGCCAACATGGGGCAGCTCTGAAGGACCCTTCTGGTGCCATGGCTCCCGGGGGGTCAGCGGTGGCTCTGTCAGACCTCTTCCTCTGCCCCACCGTGCTCCCCTTGGCGGACATAACAGAAGATCTGTTTGCTCTTGGCGCCGATATTGAGCCGTGGGTGTGCCCTTGGGTATTTTAGTCTGCTCCCTCACACCTGAATTTAGACTCATCAGGTGACTTAGTCGGGCGTCTCTAGGAACCTGAGGATGGGAACAACCGCTAAATCTCCAGGGAGGGGCGTGGAGACGGAGCTATACAAATTCCGGAAGAGGAGCTTTGGCAGTTCCACAGCTGGGGGACATGAGGAAGTGTCGGAGGGTGGCCCCTGGGAGAGGCACAGACGCACACCACAAGGTTCTCTCCCTCCCTTCTTGGGTTCACCTGTTCCGTGTGTCTGTTTCCTTCATAATAAACCAGTGTTTCCCTTATCAGTGTCCTTAAAATAAACCTGTAAGTGCAAGCAAAGTGTGTGTTTCTGAGTTCCTGTGCATCCATCTGGAGTGGAGGTTGGGCAGACAAAGCCAGAGGGCTGGCCCGCGGGGGCCTGACCAGCCCAGGCCCCCCAGGAGGGTGCAGCAGAAGAGGGGTCAGTCTCAGGGGACCGACTTGAGGAATCTGATGTTCCCTCTTGGTGACTAGTGTCAGAAGGGCAGGATTGCTTGTTGGGAAAAATTCTGCAGGCTCCCTGCCACCAAAGATGGCCCCCAAAATGCTCCTTCGTGAACAGCTTGTGTGCTGAATTCCCTCGCCCTGACAGAAGCCGATTTTGAACGCAGTTTTATTTCTTGGACTCTCCCGATGGTTCCCCTGGTGCTGATTCCCTTTCTTGCCTTCACTGTTTCCTTCTCTGGGCTTGTTTGGCATCGATCGGACTCTTTTTAAAATTAGTTCCTTGAGATTGTGTGTGTAAGATCTTTCCTCTGATAAGCACCAGTTCTGAGGATTGTGCTCTATGTCGGCTTTGTGTGCCGACATAGAGCACAGCAACACTTTCCTTGCTTAAAGTAGGACAGATTTTCTAATCCTTGGAGCCAAGACGTCTGGCCGGGTAGAGAGGGAGGGCTGGGGAAAGCAGAAAGGAGACCCAAGTGGACCGTCCCTTCCACGTTGCGTTCCTTGTCGGACGAAGGCCGGGGGACAGAACTCGAGAGCCAGGACAGACCTGAGGCTACTTCAGGTGGCCTTTTCTGTGTGAGGATCCCGGCAGGGAGAGCGTTGTTTTCAGGCCTGTGGATACCAGCCTGGCTGTAAAATCGGGCAGACATCCCTCGAACTGAGACTTCTCAGAAAGCGAGAGAAGCACTTTGGTTTCAGCTGGGCGACTAGGAACGTTAGCATAAGTGACTCTGTTGGGGCCTGGAGCAGGAGCTTAGTTCAAACAGTAACCTTCTGGGATTTCACCTACACTTCTTTTCCAATCTAAGCAAAAGAAAAGTGTGCGTGTGTGTGTGTGTGTGTGTGTGTGTGTGTGTGTGTGTGTCCACGCGTGTGCTCCTGCTTATGTGTGTACCAGATCCTTTGGGATGTATGTGGCCCTGTGCATCCATACATCTAAAATACATGTATGTGATGTCTTTGTCAGGGGGCTTTCTCCTACTCCCTAAAAGTCTCAAGAGACATAGCCACTGAAGCCCTTTGTCCCTGACGAGGTTACTCGTTCTTGTGTTGCAGGATTGTCGTTTTGCCCACTTGAAAATTCGGTATTTTATTTTCCTCTCATGGAGTTTGATGAGTTGTGAATGTACTCTTGATATAAACCCTTTGTGGGTTATGTGATTTGCAGACTGCAGATTTCATTCTTATGCTTGTTCCTGATTTCAATGGGACCGTCCAACATTTCTCCAGTAGTAATGAGGGACATCACAGTTGTGGGTTCTCGAGGGACATCACTCCCATGTTAAGGACATTTCACTTCATTTCTAATTCACTAAGAATTTTTTTTTTT